TAGCTTCCGCCAGTGTGTAAGGTGCCAGAGTTGAACTGCTCTCTTTTGTCACAAGCAACTCACCAAGATATAGTGCTTGGGGAAGGGACGAATAGAGTGACTGGCCTCATGTGCTACAATGGAAGCTCATGTTGTGTCACTGTGAAAGAGTCCAAATGGAATGACTTATGCGAGGTAGAGATGGAGGCAGGAGTAATAGAACAACTGCAATGTCAACATCATGCAAACTTGCCATTTCCTCTGGCCATTTGCACCAGAGAAAAATCGTATCTACTAGTAACTCAGTTTTATGGAGGGGGCAATAAGTCATTGAAACTCTCATTATAGGCATGAATGATCTAGGCAAAATTCCCAAATTGATTGTTGGTGCTCTCCAGTATGTACATGAAGCTGGTTGGCTCCACAATGACATGCAAGAAAAATGTAATTATGCATAAATCAGCCATGGGGTTGAAACCAGTTTTAATTGATTTTGGAAAACCCAGGCTGCGAGGAAACCCATGGATTGTACCAGAGGGTATTGCAGGAACAGACCCTCAGTCTCAAGAAGTGATATATTCTCTTAAGGGACACTTTCAAACGTATGTCAGGCAAATTTGCTCAGTGCAACTTTCTGATGCAAAGTCTTTCTGGCAAGCGTACCGTCTTTCAGCTGAGTCTCAGGATTTCTCTACAACAACTCGATTGTACATTATATAAAATCAGCAGGGAGTTAAGTAAAATTTTCATGTTAGGCAATTTTTTAGTTAAATTGTGACTACATTATATGGTCGCTCTTGCTTTATATCCCTAGCTGCTGTTATAATAAGAGGGATGAAATGTTAACCGCAGTAGTTGTGAAAAAAGAAGGAATATCTTGTAAATATAAGCTAAAATATAAATTAATTACTTTAAGAACTAGTTGCTACTTGACAAATTTTAAAATGTTTTTTTTTTTGCTGGAGTTATGAACTTACCCACAGACGGATTGATACTGGCATTCCTCACACCGTTCTGTGCTATACCTAAGTCTCTAGTTTGCCATTTTGTAGAATTAGAAATATCATTAGTTACTTTTTACTCTGTAAGTTGATTGAAGTTGATTTGAGTTTTCCCTGATTAAAGATTGGTTGAGTTTTCTCGTTTTGGAGCTAAGGACTAACACATGGTGTCAGAAGTTAGTGGATGAAGCTATCTGCTGACTGCATTTGCGAAATATTTGTCTTGTGAAAACCTTGGTTCATTTCGGCTCCCATAAATCGAAACCGCGTGGTGTGAAATGGTGGCCGGGCGTCTGTTAAACCCTCCGGATCATCTGCAGCTTTCAAGTGGAAATGTATCTCAAAATTGGAAAAGATTTAAACAAAAGTGGAGTAACTATGAGCTAGCTATCGGAATAGCCAGAAAGGAAGACCTCATTCGAGTAGCAACTTTTCTCACTGTGATCGGCGACGAAGCGCTAGATGTTTACAATGCATTCACGTGGGACAGTGACAAAGACAAAGTCAAAATGGTTAAAGTTCTAGAGCATTTTGAGCAGTATTGTGAGCCTCGCAAGAATACAATTTATGAAAGGTATATATTCTTTTCGCGTGGACAGGAAAGTAGGGAGCCCATTGATAAATATGCCACCATTCCACGAAACATGGCAGACTCTCGTGAATTTCAAGATTTGAAAGATTCATTGATACGTGACTGCATCGTGTTTGGAATTGCTGATAACAATGTGAGAGAGCGTTTGCTGCGAGTCCCAGATTTGACGCTGAATAAAGCTCCAGAAATTGCACGAGCTGCCGAAGCAACCCAAAGCCAGTTGAAACAAATGCAAAACTTGCACGAGGTTAATGCAGTGGGGAAGAAGAAAGAAAAATTCTTCCAAAAGAAACAAAAAGAGAAGAAGAAATCAGCAAACTCAACCAATCAGTCTTTAATTAGGGAAAACTCAAATCAACTTCAATCAACTTACAAGAACGTCCCCGAAACGTTTTACGAGTATGCAACATTATGTCAGCAGTATTGACCACCACTTCATAATATCACATACTCCAGTATCTTTCAGCAGGATTCATGTGAAGAAAATAAAAAAAAACTGTGACAAAAGCCAACTCAAGCATTTTAAAAAGAGTGACTCAAACAGTAACTGTCATCCTAATCACTGTACTCGATCTTGTCAAAATTAACATGAACATATTTTTTCAGGTTGAATTTATATTCTGCAGTTAAAATGGACTGCGTATTATTTGTAAAGCCATTTAAACTTGACAGTGTATTAGTTTGTTACTATAATGCTGTGATATCGTTCCACTGTGTGCCAGCTAAGGTTTTTTATTCATTGGCATGTTAATTTAATGAACCAGACAAAATATACAAGTGCTGACAGAATACTTCAGTATAATGAAATAAAACCCGACACCGGGTGAAGTCGAGGTTCTCATTTGAGTGTAAGTGCATGGTTTTGTATTGTCAACAGCAGCTACTGAAATAGCATTAAACAATAGCATCTTATGGAGAACCCAGAAAATTTTGGTGGGCAAATTTGGTTGCTAAGTCTTGGGGCTCACCATGAAGATGTGGAAGTATAGAGATTCATATTGTGGCAGCTTGTTAAGATCTTTTACACTGGGCATTTCAGTCTAGTATTCTTTTGTTACATTTAAGGTGATAGCTTGAAAACGTATCGTCACTTGCAAGGAGTTGGCTCATCATCTATGCTTGTAAATTATAAAGTGAACAGTGCCTCCCATCAGTTGACATTGCTACAATGTATGGGCCTAAAAATACGCCAAGGCTAAATAACATACAATGATGGTATTGTTATCGATACTAGCGTGAGAAGAAGAAGTAAACAAGTAAAGATAAGTTAATTAATTTCAGCCGACTACCATGAAAGACATTAACCTGGTAATTCCCTTTTATTCAAAGGTTGCTCAGGCTGAAGATGTATCCACTCTTGATTAAGAAGAATTTACGAGTTTCTTGTCTAAGGGTAGCCTACCAGTAGTTCTGACTTCAAGTGGCAAATGAAAAATGATTTTACACCTGCTGAGAGAGGGGTTGGCAACTGTTGTTTTGTGGCTAAAATGAAACAGCATCCATAAATATGGAAACATAAATTGGAAGTCGGAAATATCACAAGTTGCAAATACGAGAACAGATGTTTTATGAATCAAATGAGTCAATGAGTCAGATCTGAAAAAATAAAAGTTTCGTTAGAAACAATAAAATTAAGCATTACTTTTACTTAATTTGTCTACTTGCCTCATTGCTGCCTGCACATGCAAGGCCCATTTCTGACATGAAATCTCAACCTGGGCTGTTTGGTAGCAGTATTCCAGGCCCTGCTGCTACTACTACGTTCAGGCCCCGAAAAATAGCCTTCCCAGACACCCTTCAAGAACCATTGAAACCATCAGACAATCCATACAAATAGAGTTTCCATACCAGAAGTGAAGTGATCCAAGGTTGTTCATATTAGTTGATGCATGAGTTTTAAACAGGTGGACTAATGTAGATAAACACAAACATAATGCAAACAATGAACGTTCAACGATTTTAATCAATCAACAAGCCTTGAAAGCTATTTAAAATTACAATGGGTATACAGTAATACCTCAACAATAATTATTCGTACACTGTATGTTTCTATATACTTGCTGTTTCATACCCCTCCTCGTGCAAATCACAATAATTGTAATTCAGTTTGTTCGCCTCGTAGCATCATTCACCTTTTGAGGCAAGTAAAACTGATTGGAAAAAGTGGTGAACTATATTGGGAAGATTATCAACTGAAAACAACTCTGCCCTTGATTGTTGGAACAGATGCTTAGTGTCCTGGATCATCTTCATTGTGCTCATGATCGACAGCGATCCACAGCATGAAAGAACATTGTATTCCCCTTGATAAGATTCCTCACCAAAACCTAATGAATACTTCCCTGAATACTTACCTTTACACCAGCATGACAAAATAATGAGTAACATACAGATATAAAAGTGGAACTTTCCTTCGCACTCATGACCGATTTTCTACTTCAAACCGGGCCCAAACATCAACACACTGAATATCAAAGAACAACTGTTGCCAGATTTGAGTCTGAGCGCTAACAAAATTCATAATGGACACAATGAAGGAAGTAGACAAAATAAGTAAAAGTAATGGTTAATATTATTGTTTCTACCGAAACTTTGATTTTTTCAGATCTGTCTCATTGACTCATGACTCAGACTCATTGACTCATTTGACTTATTAATACTTTACACTCTGCAAATACAGTTGCAAAGTCAACCGGTATGATATTGAAGAGCAGCTTCTTTATTCCTAAAAAGTCTCTATGCATGCTCTGTAGAGTCCTTAAGCGATTATGTCATGTTGCCATGGCGCTGAAAAACTCAGTTCTAAACAAACTCACATTTCAATCAAAATGGTGACGCTATCTATCACATTGCTGCTTTCTTTCTTTTCAGACGAAATCGATTAAAAAAGGAGAAAACCACTTTAATTCTGATCATGTGGAAGCATTTAGTTACCAGCAAGGAGTTTTGCAAGGAGAAGTGCAAGCAAGTACGAAAAAGGTTGATAAAGTAACGGTGAGTTAATTTTATGATTTATCAACTAAGTAAGCATAATCTGTGAGGCATACTGTGTTGTTTTGATCTAAAAATGTCGTTTTATTTAGATCCGATGGTCTAAGCAGGAATTTCCCGATGTTCTCAAACAACACAACATTCATAGATCGCAAATAAGCGTATAATTTTGCGTATCTTTTGGTTTGTTCGCAAAATTACCACAAACAATGCAAGCTCATCTGTAGCCAATTCAAACATCTTTCTGCTTATATATCGTAATTAATTTTTTGTCTTTTATATTGAAAATTGCAGATTTACTTGGATGACCAACAAGAAATAAAATTGACCGAGTGTGAATGCCCAAGAGGAGTGTCTAAATGTAGTCATGCAGCTGCACTTTTTATTCACGGGATCCACAACCTAGCTGCACAGACGTCGAATGCCAGTGGAGAAAAATGACGTCCATGACTACACTGTCAAAACAAGCGGTTTCAGAGCTATTTCCTCCACCAAAAAGGTACTGTGCTTTGTCAAGGAACCTAAAACAAGCCGATCGTTTCGCGTTGTATGAAGATCTAAAGGAATATCGAAGTTTACTGGACTCTGCTGGCTGCTCAGCCCTGGGCCACCTGTTGCTAACAAGCTACCTATGCCTTCCATCAAGGAAATTATTTCCTTAGTTTCCTCAAGCTAGAGGGAGTCAAGGACAGCTGCATTGCTTGATTCATCGTTGAAAACTAGATGAACATAAAGTCGCAAGGATTAGCCAGTTAACTGTGAGCCAAAGAGACAACCCTGCTTGGCATTTGGCAAGAACGGGTCGACTTACTGCCAGTAACTTTGGCTCTGTCCTCAAAGCTAAAAGAGTCACTTCTTCACTAGTAAAACGTCTCCTTGGGAGTATGATTTACCAAGAGTCAAAGCAGTCTAATGAGGAGTTAACAAAGAAAAAGAAGCCATTAAAGCATTCACCTTCAAAACAGGGAAAATTTTCAGGATACTGGTATCTGGTTTGATTCTTCTGGAATTCTTGGTGCTTCACCTGATGGCATTGTAGATGATAGAACTGTTCTGGAGTCAAAGTGCTGGTACACTGAACAAAACCTGACAATAGACGAGGCTTTGAATTCAACATCATTCCACCTTGAGGAAAGACCATGCGTACTGGGATCAAGTCCAGGGACAAATGTACTTGTCTGGTAGAAAGGTTTGTTTTTTTTGTTATGGACTACAAAATGATGTAGCTGTTTTGAAAATAGAAAGGGATGACACATGAGCTGCAAACATTCCATGCTTAATTAAGTTCTATTATGATTATATTTTCCAAAAATTGTGGAAGGAGAATTGTAAATTATTTTATTTTTAACCTTCCATGTGACTGTATTTAAGAAATGGTAAACGTGCAGCATGCAACCGTTGAGTTATGGATGGATGCGGGACATTGCTAAGCACAAAAGAAGTGTAAGAGTTGCTTGGGGCGTGCACTTTCGTGGCATGCACCAATGAGCAAATGGTAGATGACCAATCAGAGAACATGCTTTACTTTTGTTATGTTATAAATTGTCATTGGTTAATGCTCTCTGTCTAGCCAAACTTAACGAAACACTATCCATAACTCATTTTCAGTGAAACATGGAATCATAAAAAATCTTTTTGTCATAGCTTGATAGCTCACCCACCTTCTCTAGTTTGTCAAAGAGGGTGAGTTGGGCAGGGGCAAGGGGTGCTTCGGCATATTTTGATTTCTGCTCTTTACCATTTGTAATTCTTTCATAGATTGTTGAAAGGATTGTCGCAGTTTATGAATTACGCTATTATATTGTGGTAACTTGCAAAGTATTTTAATAAAGCTCATCATTTTTCTGTTCTTTGACAGCAATCGTGCTTAATGTTTTTTTATTGTTGGTTCTCGGGTAGTAACTGGGCCATTCACGTTCAACATGAAATTCTTTGAAATTCTTGAGCATTGGAATGTACATGTTACAGGTCAAAATTAAATTCAGGTCACAATTTCTTACCCTAGGATGGTTCTTGATTTCCTTTGTCTCCTAGCCCTACTTCAATAAGAACTACAGCTACAAGACAAAGGAAATTGAGAATCAACCTAGGTTAAATTTTTTTACCTGAATTTCATTTTAACCTGTAACATACATGTAATCTCACACGATAATATACTAGGAAAAAAACTATTCAAAAACCACATCCTCACATCCCTCTTTGACTAGTGGAAACTGCAAATTTACAAGTGCCGCAACCAGCTGAAACAATACATCGGCATAACAAAGTAAATAAGAGGGGATGACACTTAATATTCTTAAGTCTTTTAGTCTAGCATTGGTTCTTTCCACATGGATCTGACATGTGGCTATAGCCTTTGTAGCCTTTGCCTCGCTCTCAGTAAAAGTTCCATTGTTCAGGAATGGTGGGATGTTTACAGAAACCCTTCATGGTACAATATCCTGAATAAGAAATTCCTTGTCCACAAGTATCATATCCCCAGGAGTGAAGTGGTTGAGAAGGCCTGACTCTTGGGCAATGGCTTTGTCGGAAATAGAACCTGGGTAGAGCTTGCTTACGTACGTGATGACTGCATTTGGTTCAACACCAAATGAATTAAATGAATTCATTCCACGATGAGATGAATATGTTGCATTTTGTTGACTCATTAGTCCAGCTGCCGCAACCTCAATATCAGTGCAGTCTATAACATTCTGGCAGGACAGGATGGTGCAGATAGTTTGTTTTTGTCTCGAGAGAGAATAGGTAATTGATTGAATCTTTAAACCTCAAGGCATATCTCACAACAATTTCAAATACTCGCTTAGTTGGACGCCCAGTTTCCATTCTGACAACATCTTCTGACAGTTCTCCCACAGTGTAACACCTGGTTTTGTACTGGACTTGTTCCTCTAGACTCTTTAGTGGCCGACCATTTGACTTTTGGGTTATGGGTGATTTCAGAAAAATGTCCTGCAGACTGATTTTGAGAGGAAAAAAGCATGCAAATAAATTCCTGGAAAAAATATCGCTAATGACATATAATGCTGAAAAAAAAATCTAACATCTACCCCACTCCCCCACAAATGTCCAATGGTCAACCACTTAGGGGGTTAGAGAAGAAACGCATTTGTCATAAATGTCACCCATCAACAAAATGGCTGGCGCACGTTCATCATGTGGTGGTTTTCAGGACTAAACTTATGCATTTCAAGATTGAAAATACGCCGACAAAAGACACAAATGGAAAGAAAAAGTTCAAAAGAATGCTCATTTTCCTTTTTGTGGACAAACGAAAGCTTTTTTCTATGAATTTGTATTTCGAGGAATTCAACCTTGTTTTCTACACGTTGGATTGGAGCACTTGGCCTCTTTTGAACCAACCAAGGCAGCAAGGTTTCTGAAGACACTTGAGGTACATTCCATACTCTATGATCAAAGAAAAGTACGTTTTTAAAAAGGAATTTTTGTATTTATAAATGCTTCAAGGATCTTTTCTACATTTTGACATCGCCGTGAAAGGAAAACCACACAATGTGTATTTGAAACTGATTTTTTGCCATGTGCTCAAGCGATTAAACTTGCGTGAACGCAAGGATTTAACTTGCGTTACATGAATTGCTTTTTAGGATTAACTTATGGGTTTTTGAATAAAACATTTTAAGAAATTAACTTATTTATCTGTCTGTTCATTCACAAAATTAGCTGAAAAAACGACCATGAGACTACAGATCGTGAGATTTTTTGAAACATTCAGACAGGCATGTTATTTTTGCACATGTTCCGCATTGAATTGCTGTTCATTTTCTCATCCATTACTTGCGATTCAAGAATTTTGCAGTGTGCAGAATTCAAGAGTTTCTGCAGTTTTGAAGTGTGCAGTGCGCTGCTCTTTTTACATAACTTGAATACAGTCGAATACCGCTTGAATTAAGTTTACTGCGTTTGTTTTCAGTTGTTTGTTTACGGCTTTATATTCTCAATGAAAAAGTGAGCTTATTTAGAAAATGAAAGAGTTCTCCTCTATTCTAAAACGAACAGACTCGCCGGCTTTTCGAGCCCGAGTTTGTCTTTTTTAGTTAATAAAAAAAGCTGTAAGTTGCTGTATTAACGTTTATATTTGTAGATAGGATTATAGTTATTAGTAGCAAAAAAGGTAATTGTTTGCTTTCCTATGTCTGTCCTCAGAGAACATATTATACACCTTAGGGTAAGATTTTCTTTCAGATATTGTGAGGTATAAATGCAAAGGCTACACATAACTGTTTGTGTGGGCCCATGTAAAAAAAAATGAAAACAAAATATAATGGGCTTATGGGAAGACACAAGTCCTTAAGTCGGCCTGATTTTTCTTTTAGCTCTTCCCTTAACCCACCGACCCTAGAAATTTCAGCTGTAAGTTGCTGCTACTTAAGAGACCTACAATTTAACAATTTTTTGAATTCAGGTTTGTTTGCAAGATATTTTTTCATCATTTAGCCCCTCCCTCTAAAGGTGTCTGATGCCGAAGGCTCTTAGAATTCATGTGATCACTTTAATCTGATTGCTTTTATCACAAGTATAGAACAGAGGCTTTGCTTTTAGCCCTGGCTAAATCTATATATTAATTCTCCTTAGTGGATGGTGACTCATTTTTGCTAGCGTCTTCAATCATCTCAATAAAAGTCTTTTTCCTGAAGACAGTCTCAGTCTTCTTTTTCTTCCGTGGGGACACTCTTTGTTCAGGAAATAATTTTTCCCTATTTCGCCGGAAAATCTCTGGACCATTGGACTAAAATGGCAGCTACACAACCTCAAGTATTTGTTGGGTATTTTATCCTCTCTCCTGTGGAAGGAGCAAATAGAAACCACTTTACCAGATGTAACGATATTCATATAAAATAATAAACTTGTTAGGCTTGACCACCTAAAATGTTAAACCAACACATTTTGTTGTACGAGACATCAGTCTTACTACTAAGGTGAAGCGAGGGTACTGAACTGGGGAATCATAAAAGCAATGATAGGTCACAAGAGGTAAATAACACTGAGTTACATTGTTTCTCATTACATCGGCACATCTTCATCTCAGTGAAGCCCGCGTGAAAGCGAATCATTCAGTAAACCTTGCACTCAAAATCTACATATTTTACGTTGTATTCTTAGTAAAAACACAATCATGGATATTTTTACCAACCTTATCAGACGAATCCCTCGTTTGTGTTCGTTTGTTGCCTTTCCAGGACATGGAAATGTGAAGAACTTGCAAGTATAGCTCTCCAACGCAAGGTTACATGCCGGAGCAAAGCAGTAGACTATTTATGACCGTTTGGACCTTTTTTCTCAGACAAAAGCATCAATTCTGAGAGCGTAATTGACTGTTCCACCCACAGATCTTCTTGTTGAGTGATTTTAAACAATAACACAAGATTTTTAAGTGCTTTGATCTTTCAACAAAGAAAACATGACCTATGTGCTCTTGATCATCTGCAATGTTTACAACTGAGTTTTTTAGTGCCATGGCAATGTGACATCACTCTTTAGGACTCTATTATTCCTTAATTTATCATTTATTTTACTACTGCAATATAATTTGGCTTCGACTTATAAAACCAATTTCCGTCGTCTTCTTATCCTGCAAAAGGGGATTATTAGAATTAATAATAAATCACATTCCAATGCTCATACAGACCCCATCTTTAAGGACTCTTTTTAGAAAATACTGGAGATTAAATTACTAAATAAAAATGTAAACTGATCATACATCTTTCCATCTTTGACTTTTCGCCATCTTTTTTTCGTAAAAAGCTCTAGCCTTTAGTTTGAGGAACCCTAACCTCCTATAAGCTCCTATAGTTTCTTTGGGTCTCTTCGCCACTTGTTTTATCCACTTGTAATTTCTTTTACTGGGTGGCAAATAAAAAAGGTGTTCATGGTCCTCTCTGTTTCTACGAGTGATGGCAAACGACATGGAACAAGTGGGATATGATAGATGTTCTGCAGTTTTCACAGGACAAGAGTGAGTATGAGAAAAATATAGAACATTTTCCCAAAACATTTCTTCAAATTTCTAAACTTGTCATTTTACAAAATTTTGCTAATTTTGTTACTGAATCAAATTGCTTACCATTGGTATTAGTAAAATCAAAGTGAATTTTGTTAACTTTCCTTCATGTTTTGCTTCAACGTCTTTGCTTACCTTTACTACCCCAAACCACTTTGAAAAT